AAAGCAACCTAATGTAAGAAGGCTGCGAAATATACTACTCCTTGTATACTGTTAGTGTATACAAACGGAAGCAGCAAGAAAACTAACATCAGCAGCAATAGCGGCATCAGAAGCGTGTAAATGTCGGCTAACACTTGGCTGGGTTTTCCGCCTGGGCAAGAAAAAATTTCAACAGCTTGCGCCGAGCTGAGTTGCTGTGTATTTTTGTAGCTCTTTGCTATGGCACACATTCCAGTTAACAGACACATCGACTGCAAGCCAAACTAAACTCAATTGTACACACAAATGTCTGTGTGTGTGTGCGTATGTTTGAAGTTCACACTTCGTTCTGCCATTTGTTTTGAATGATGACTGTTAAATTTACGGCTTGTTTAAGAAAACTTAAAGTCCTTTAATTTGGCCTTAAATCTAATAAAAAATACAAGTTCTTTGGGTTGTTCTCTGAGTGGGAAATCCAATAAAATGCTGAAATCTTAAGCCAAAATCAATAGGAATGAACACAAGGCTAACAAGCACGAAAAAGCAAGAAACAGCTAAGCAGGAAAATCTTAATTTTCCACAACAGAGACGTGACACACTATAGGAGAAGAGAACTGGTAATGGAGGCTTACGGTAAAAGCAAACTGTTAACTTTACAACTAACATGGTTCACACACGCATCCGCAAGTGAAGTAGTTTTTGTGCTTCTTTCTGAGCCAAAGTTCGAATCATTTGATACCAGTTTTTTTTCCAATTTCTTTTTTTTCACCTAAAGCGCACGTTGTTTGCCAAATTTTACTGCGCAGACAAGGGAAACAATGAAACCTTCCGACTTTGAAAGTTATAACACAGAACAAATTTTTGTAATTTGTTGTTATTGTTTCTTTATGGGCTTCTCGCAACCAGTTTTATTTTGCATTAATGACGGTCTTAGGTTATCTTATGTTGACAGCATTTTGTAGCATACTTTTGTGCTGATGTTCAATGTTACTTCGCCTTGCCTGAAAAGCAAACCAAACAAAGCCTCAAATTATACATAAATACAAACGTAAGTATGTCACATGCCCAGAACTTACATACGCGCATACAAAACCTACAACAATATGCTCACACCAACACGCGCACACACACGCACACCCACACACACAAACATGTACGAAACATGCCCGAAAATGTCATTTTGCCATACACCTTTTGTCATTTGATTTATTGTACTATTTCGCTTGCCCATATCACCAAAAGTATTTTGCATGTGTTACGTTTTGTGTGTCAGTGTACGAGTATGTGTGTGAGTGAGTGTGTAAATATGTGCTGATTTGTTTATACAAACGCCCAGTGTGTTTCGTTAGCTTGTCTCTACAGCTGTCAGTTTCAGCATCGCACCGGGGCCATATGTACATATGTATGTATGTATGTACATGTATGTGTGCGCGCTTAACCCGTACTTCAAATGTCTGCAACCGCACTTTGAATCAGTAGTCGGCGATGCAGTCCCCAAACCCACCCATCTTCTTCTAGCTACTGTTCGCTTAGATATTGCTCCTATTTTATATGAATGCCTGACTCGGTCGCTCGCTCTGTGAGATTGTGAGTTTGTATGTCGTCCACTTGTCATGTCACTCAGCATCATTGTCATGTACACAATGTGAGACCAACTGGACGACCAACCGGGACGACTACCCCTTCAGCACGCTCGTCAATCTGCTGTCGCCTTTCAAACGTATGTTTGTCTCCGCCCAAAGATACACTCTGACAAAAATTGTCAATAAAAATTAAATAGTTTAAGTACAAATAAATACTCTAATACTATTAAATTTGTGTTGCTATCTTTAAAATTAAGTGTCGAATCTAGTAGTGTAGACTGAAACAAACCCAATCTAATAAGAATTGAAATTATAATTGCGAAATATTGATATTGATATATATTTTTTATCAGTGCAGATATTCGTTGGGCTTATGTTCCATTTACATTTTTAATGTCAGCTTGCCTTGTAAAACTGTTCTTTGACATTTGTAATTCACCGTTACAAATCAATTTCCACGTTATGTCTGCGAATTAAACTTCAGCCCACCAATATCGCATGGAGACTTCGTTTTAGTCTACGGCGCTGGCGTCAAAAAACAATATCCTTGAAATGCCCGACGACATCGTCATCGTTTTCAAATGATATGAAATTAACATTGTGCTGAAATATTTTACGCACAATTTATGTTAATTTAGTGAGGCATTTACAACTTAAAGCTATAAGTGGGCGAGCACAGCTTGGTAATAAAAAAGAAAGGCGACACACAAACCGACAACAGCAAACATATTTTTATGGCCTCGATATTTATGCGCGATTCTTTTCGCATTGGCGAAAATCGTTTAGCTGTTTTTGGGGGCGTAGGGGTCTGGTGACAAAATATATATTTGTACGTGCTTCGGCACAAGTTTTGTGGCTCATTTGATTTCCCACAGACTCGCACACATACGTTGATATCTATATATTCGCATGTGTAAGTGTACGCGTTTCCAAGCTGTTAACATTTTGACAGCAAAGGCTTTAAGTTGTCATTGCGGTCTTTAGCTACGAGTATGTATTTTGTTGGCCATGCTGCCTATTAACATATTGTTTTCGCACGTCTAGCACATATATACACACAGACATATACGTATGCCTACACTTATATCGATCGTAGCCATGTTGTAGTTGTTATCTCACTAGCTTTATGTGAAATCGAAAAACAAAACCCAAGCTGTCAAAGCTACTAACAAGGCGAAATAAGCTTTTAAATTTTTAGTCGCCGTTTACTGACATTGGTATCCTATCCATGAACGAGAGATTTGGGCAACTGATTTGAAGCTGTCCGCTCGATAAACGAAGATACTCGTTGACTGCCAACTTTGACAGCACGATTAGTAAATATTTCAAAAAATTTAACTTATTTTGAAAATATTTTGATACCGTTGCCGTATCTAGCTTAAAACTCAGCATTTTTTTAGTTTATTAAAATTCAGTCAATTTCATATATGATAAATATAATAAATATAATTAAATAAATTTTTAAATAAATAAATTAAATATAATACGTTCAATTATTCCATAAAAATTCGATTCAAATTTTGAGATGCCTAATTTGTGGATAAAGGTTTTTCCAAGCCTTAAACAAAATGTAATATTAGTTAATATTATATTGTCGGATTTTAAGTGGATACATCTGCATACCCTACTCCGGTGCCAGTGCCCAAAATGTGCTTCACATTTTGTGCTTCACATTTGGCATATTTGCTCGCATTATAGGTAGCAGCATTATGAAACGCATTTTTAGAGCTAGCCCATTAGTTATATAGCGTTTTATTAATGGAGTTGGGTGAAAAGAAGGGCAAACGAAACACCAAAGTAAACATCACACGAAAATGTGGAATTGAAACCGTAATGGCTGTACTTGCAAGCTTTATTGCCTGTTTGAGTTAAGCGACGGGCACATTAAAGCGCTTGGATGGCTACAAAGTGCTAAGCGTGTGTCTAGGTAAGCTAAGTATAAAACTGCACTTTGTACACACATGTATCCTGTGCCTACACACCCACACAACTTATACGTGTCTCAGTGTGTACTTGTATATGAGTTTGCATATGCATGTGTTTATGCTAAAACTGCCTTGTACTTCGTCAAGGCATTGAAAGCATGCTTAACTGCGCCCACTTCAAAAGGCAACAAACAGCATCTTAAGCTTATATACATCCATACACACACACGAGTACATACAACAGTGCACATAAACGCTGTTAGTGCACTCATGTGCCAGCCCGTTATTATTAGCATAATTACAGGCACATTAGCGAACAGCCGCGTTGCGGCGTCTAAAGCTAAAGTTGCAAGGTTGTATGTAGTTGGCAATTAGAGTGCACCATGGACCAATAAGCAGCCACGCCTCCCACAAAATCACCCCAAAGCTTAATGTCTATCTTAAATTTGAACATTAACATCTGAGTCGAAAACTGTTTGTGGTGGTGAAAAATGAGATACCCGCAACATGTGGTCCACATGTGAAGATAAAGAGCATAACCGCTCGTTTAAAATACCACAATCGCATCCTTTGATTGTGGTATTTCAATCGCCTCCAATTATTCCGAAAACATTCACTCACTAATTCAAGTTTGTTTCGTAACACAAAGGTTTAATATAGAAGGTGTGATGCCTCCTGTAAATAAAGTGAAAAAGTTTAAAATACTTATTGAAATTAATTGCTCAATAAATGCTAAGCATGATTAATTAATTTTAACCGTCTCTTACGCATATGACAAGTTTTTTATTTAAGGCAATTGTTTTCGCTTAAGCTTTAGTTAACTTTATCATATTTTCATCCCTGACTTATTCGCTGATTTACATAATACAACCGGCACACAAATCATCTTTTTTTTTTTACATATATACAATGTATTAAACTAGTTTTCTACTACCAATCATCGCTCCAAGATAGCACGGAATTCTTCCAACTAGCATTAAAGGGTTAAGCTGCCAACAATTCTGGGCAAGCTTGAACTAAATTGGCAAGCATTGCCAGAGCGTTGTTTTTCTTAAACATATTTTCTCATTAGCTTTTTCATTAACATTGCATTAATTAGTTTTTCATTTTACTTTGCAGTTTTGCTTCGCTTCATGTTTACGCAACGGATACTTCACTTTCTACATTAAACACCAGCAGAGCTTACGAGAATAGCACAACAACGAGGAAAAGGTCACCCCGGAGCAGCAACAGTACGCCCAAAAGGCAGCTTTAAAAAATCAGATAACGCTAAGGCTAAAATAAAAACAGCAACCGAACAACGGAAGCAAAAATAAAAAATAAATAAGAAAAAAAACGATAAAACAGAGAGACTCTCAAAGTCAACAGACGCCCCCGATTTGTAGTGGGCGAAACAATGCGTTTGAGCATTTTTCCACTACTGCCGCTACTTCTTGTTCTGTTGCTGGACGAACGGCATGCCACGGCCTATTCGAATAGCAATGGTGAGGAGCAGCAGCAGGGAAAGCAGCCCATGGTCACCTACCTGACCACATCGACAACTAGCCAGAAAGATGGTGTGCCCCAAGGGGCAGCCGCCGCCATGCAGCCAGCCTTTGTGTACGATGCCGCAATGCCAAAGCAAGGGGAGCGCAACGAAGCGACATCTGTGAAGCCGCTGTCCTCCTCATCATCGTCATCGTCCTCGTCCTTGTCCTCGTCAACGTCATCCTCTTCGTCGATGTCCGGCCCACAACAGGGTGAAGCATCAAAGAAAGTCATCGGTTCCAGGTGAGTACACACTTTTCAACGATGTGAGCGCGCTTTCAACTTCTATAGGCAGAAATCAGTTGGGCTTTGTTTTAACTACCTATCCACCTTTTACTTGGCCTTTGTTTACCTTTGTTGGATGTTGTTGCTATAGCTTTTGCTATTATTTCTGTTGTTGTCTTTTGTTTGCACAGCTTTTTGCAATTTTTGCCACTAATTGAAATAGAATTTCTTTGCTCTTGTAGTTGTTGTCGTGGTTGTTGTTGTTGTTGTTGTTTTTGATACTGCTGATGCTACTGCTGTCGCCTCGACCGCCTCGACCGCATATTGTTTGTGTTGGAAACGTTGGCGAAAGCCTTGGTATTTTAATTAATTTGCTCAGCGAACGATTTGAGGGGGAAAAGCGTAGCATACTTTGCGGCGTTGACTTTTTAAATTTATTCGTCGTGTGCAAAAGACGAATTAATTGAGTGCCTATTAACATAAAAACCTTTAACTAAGCAACTAATACAGGTCACTAATCCGAATTAAATACACTAATCTACTTAGTGACACATTAAATTAAAATTATACACTTCAGTTCAACTTTGGATTATAAATAATATAAAAGATAACATGTTGAATTCAATATTACGAGTTGTTAGCCATTCGTTTAGTATCACAGCTTATATTTATATATATGCTTACGCATTGCATAGCATATTAACAAAGAATATTAAATGTAATAAAAATGCAATCAAAAATTTGAAATATTATTTTGCTTTGAGTGTCTTATTTAATTGAGTGCCACTTATTAAAGCTTACTAATTAAGCTTTACAATTTCATTTTAAATTTCGTCACACATTTAATCAACTACAATTAATTTAGAATTTATGAAAATTCCATAGAATCTAAGCTCAACATTTTAAATGACAAAATGTAAGCAAAAGCTTAAGGTTAAAATTTCAAGTCATAGTTAAATACTACGCAATTTTATAAGACATCGATAAACCTAGATTTTCCAGAAATGTAAAGAAAAATTCAAATGAATCATTTTGCTTTGCTTTCGTTATACAAAATATTCCTTCTGCACTCCGGGGCATTTAAGGGAAATTTTCCGAGCAGTTTTCTACAAATACGCAGGTAACAGCAAGTGGAAGCAGCTTACAGTAACAGCTGCTGTCGGTTGATAATGATTATGAGCTCTTGCTGATGATAACGATGCTGCCAACGCCCATGATAATGATGCGTTCAAAACGTTATATGCAGCTTTTTAATTTCTACGAAAGGGTATTGGAACAGGCTATGTCCAATCAGAGAAGTGCAACGGGTTTGCTCGATCACCCTTGGCACCCGCGCTCGTTGAACAATCTCTGTAACATGTTCATGACTATTGTGGACATAGACGCATAATTATGCATGATTATGCATGTTTTGTTTGCAATTATGAAAAAACTCACGATCATTAACGATCATATATGACTTTGGAAGTTGTGTGTTGAACTGAATGTATGGTTTCAGCTCATTCTCAGGCGATCATTCCTTGTCACTCAACCAATTTAAAAATACAATTATGCATCTGGCAGTTCAGTTATATTCTAGATACTTTCTTGTCAGTTTGGTTAGCGTATGCAATGCTCACCAGACTCAAACGTAAAGTGTTACTCATTTTACACATTTTTGCACTTACTTTCCACATGAAGTGATTTTTGTACTTAGTTTCGACGCGGTTGCTATTTCTACAGTTGATTATTCTGGCATGGCAAGCGCTTCAGCAACTTGAACTCTACACCACACGGATGTACGAACTTATATATGTGTATGTGGATAGTCAGCTACAGCGCGTATCCTACTAAGCATGCTTAAATGTAAATGATGTGCCTTCTTCTTCCACATGTGAGCACACACACACACACATGCAGACATCAATCTGATGGTAAAGTATTTGGTATGCACATGCAAAATTTCTGGAGCACGCATGCTAAGTGCATTATTTTCTAAATCATTTTGCAAGGCAGCAACAAAAAGCAAGTCGTGACTTTCGCAACACTTCCATACTTTCAATTTCCATTAAGATGCCACTGCACAGCAAATAAATGGCGTTCTCTAAAGTATGTATGCAACATGACTTGCGCTTCCCCAAGTGCCATCAGCCATCATTCATCATCTTGGCATTTCTCGCAGCGCATCATCTTCAAATTTTTTGTTTGGCATTAATCATTATTTTGTGAGGTCACTAATGTGCACACTTTTTTCGTCTCTTCCTATTGCTTATAGCGTGGTCACCTCCGTCTCCGTCGTTCTTAATGGTAACGAGCCACAATATACCGATGCGCTTGGCCATAAGGTGCCCAAGCCGCAGCCCTCCTTACAGGTGGCCAGTCCCATCGATTTGCTTAATCCGGATCGCTACGAGTTCTACACCTTTGACGAGCATGGCGAGCTGGTTAAACGCCTTATGACTATGCAGGAGATCCAAAGTATTGTGGCCAACGGTGATGGTGAAGGACCCTCTATCATACACACAGCACCACTGAACGAACGGGAGCCAGAAAAGAATGTCCAAGACATTGTGAATAGCGTACAGAGCGTATTAAATAAGGAGGTGGCTTCCTCAAAGAATGGCTCCAGCTCTGGCGAGCTGCTGCCAGTGCTGGACACGCCTGATGTCTCCTCATCCTGGTCGCTCATATTGCCTGCTATTTTCGGTAATACAGGTGGTGATATTTTTCCCCAACAGAAACCGCAGCAAATTGTTATGACTCCAGAATCAGAGCTGTTGGAGACATCAACAAGGGCGGCGCCACCCACTCGAGCCACCAAAAAACCGAAACCCTCGAAGCGAAAGCCGGGTGCGGGTAATAAGCGCAAGCCAAGCACCAGTACAAAGGCGCCCACTCGAGTGACCCCACAGGTGGTGCAGGAAGAACTGGATCCCATGGAATCGGTCTATACGGGCATGCAGCAGTATCAACATTTAGCCGCAAACATTCACGACTTTGACATGCACATGCAGCCCATCTATCAAAAACTGCCTAGCACCACATCCAAGCCAGAGACAACCACTCGACGTGTTTTCTACAACAATCAAGAGATTATACAAACTCCCTCCCACACAACAGCTGGTAGCAGCAGCACAACGACGGACAAAATCGTCTTTAACCAACAATTGGCCAAGAAACCACCACACATTCAGCCCAAGCCATCGGCACCACATCGTGTAAAAAAGCCGAATGGTGATGGCACCACTAGCACCGCCCATCCCACTGGCAGCAAACATAAGGTAAAGAAGAAGACTACCACTACGACAACAACAACGACGACAACAACAACAACAACGACTACGACTCCAGCACCAACTACAACCACAACTACTACAACTACGCCCACGCCACCTACAGAGACGACAACGCCAGAGCAACAACCACAACCAACGGCAACAACCACAACAACGCCAGCGCCTCCACCGACTACGCCGAAAAAGAAAAAGCGCAAGCCAACTCGTACGCCAGGTGGTGTAACCGGCGGTTCCACCACAATTGGAAAGCCAGGCAAGCCAAAACGTAAGCCAACACCAAAGCCAAAGCCAGCCCAGCAATCGGTCGGTACCCAAAAGCCACGCCCACACCGTCCACATAACAAAAAGCCTACTACGACAACGACTACAACAACAACTACCACCACTACCCAAGCACCAACAACTACGAGTACCACACCGCAGCCGGAGCCCACACAGCCGCCCGTAGAAATTCCAGCCACGCCAGAACCAGAACCGGAACCAGTACCAGAACCATCAACTACAACCACAACTACTGCACCACCTTCAGCCCGTCCTGTTGAACATCACCATCACAAGAAACCATCCCCATCTGCAGATGAATCGAGCTCGCTCCGTCCCACAACTCATCATCATAACCGGATACACGGAAAGCCTGTTCACACCACAACAACAACAACAACTGAATCTTCCCCTGCAGAAGTTCCATACAAACAGCACCACAAAAAGCCAAATGGAAAACCCGTTCATCACAAAACACCCGACTACACCAGTCACGTGGATGTGGAATTGAAACCGGAGAGCTATGGAATTATTAATGCGGTTCCAACTAGAACAACAACAACCACCACAACAACAACGACAACAGAGGCTCCTACCTACAGCGATGTACCGCTCTACCCCGTTCCCAGTTATGATGCCGCTGCAAGCTTGCCAACATTCTTTGCCGAACAGGATAAGTCGCCGCTAAAAAAGACACCACTGCCATCGCTGGCCCTCATACAACAACAATTGCAACAAAGCTCCCCTGCACCGCAACTATCTCTGGATCAAATACACTCGGTGGACCAGATAGTGCAATCATTGACTGAAGATCAGTCCAGCAATGTCAGTGATAAGGTAACCACAAGTGAAGAACAATCCGCTCAGCCTCCACCAATAAAATACGACAGCGTCGAAACTGCGCAAGAATTGGAGGTATTGGCTAACAAGAAAAAGATATCGACTCCGACGACCAGTAGCACCACGGAAGCCCCAGTCACAGTCCCAACGAGCGCATCCACTTTTGTGACATCCGACAAGCCATTGGCAGTACATTATGGTGGCAGTACGTTGGCCACAATGCTGGCCGATGATGAAGCAGGCATTACACAGCGACCCATTGAATCCACGGAGTCGGCTAGCATGGAGAAAGAAACCACTACGAGTAGCGATGAGAGTGAACAGCCAACGCCTGTGGTTGTAATTACAGCTAGGCCCCAATATTTCGCTATAACAAAGCAACCGGAGCCGATGTACACGATGCCGCAGACCCAAAAAACGGACAATGACGAACCCGAAACTACGGAGTTGCCTGGCAACACGCACTTCCTGGTCACCACGCCCATGTACATGGAGAACAAAGAAACTGAGACCACAACGCAAAAGCCCAGCAACGATGCCTTGCATGTGGTTAAGTTCGAACCCCTATATGCCGAGGTGCCAGAAGCTGTGGTCGCCGAGCTAAGCGAAGCGAGCACCGAAGTCGAGACAACTGACGCCACCACCACTGGTGGCTATTTAGGAATACACACCACAGTGCAACCTGCACGTCTTCCTGTATCTGTCACCCCCTCGATACTAGATGATGACGAGAGTACTGAGGTGACGCCACAAGTCGCCGACTTGTTGCCGCAACTAAACCTTGAAGTTCTCAAGCCAACGGATCAGATTTCCATGTCAGATTTCCAGACGCAGGCTGCCACAGTCGCATCCACCTTGGTTGATGGCACCAATACCCTTACCTCTGATGTCTTGAACTCCAACGAGACCAAGGATGAAATCGAGTTTCTGATGTCCGACGTTATTCAGCAAATCACTAACGATCACAAACATCAACCGAATTCACAATATAAGCCCGTAATACATAATTACCAAGATAATTCAAATCGCTTGACCAATTATGCCCAACTTAACACATCCTTCCTACTGGACCCAATCAAAAAAGTCAACACAGACTCTAAGGTAGAGAATAAAACTCAGGTCAAATGGCCTGAAACTCAAACAAAAATCGAAGAGCCGACTCAGCAAACACCGACCTATGGACAGGAGCAACAACAGAAACAGGAAGAGCTTACAACAATTATACCCAGCTACGAAGAGCTCATAAAACAGGAATCCGCTTATCTAGAAACACTGACGGAGTCAAGCACTCTGCAAACTGTGCCCGTGGAGACGACTACCTTCAGGATACCCATTTTATCGCTATCACAAATTTATGCGCAGCAGCAACAGGACGAAGATGCAGCACAGCAAATGTTTGAGCAGGAAAGAGTTGAATTTGTACAAACAACAGAGGGGCACGAAGCTGACAAGGCAACTACAACAGCAAGACCAACAGCAAGACCAACAGCAACACCAACATCAACACCCACATCAACAGTTGAGCCAACAACAGAGCAGCCAAACAATACGGACGCAATGCTGCAACAGCTATCGCAAGAACTAGAAAGCAAGAGTGAAGAGAGCACCACGGCGGACAGTGTCATGGAACAGTCTGAAGAAGAAACGAAACTGCCCTTTTATGAGAAAACAGACAGCTACACAGAACACGGAGAAAGTGATGAGGACCAAATGCCCGAAATGTTAACAAATGGTTACAATGAACAAGTGATGGGCGAACTCAACGAAACGCCAACACCCACTAAGGCAGATTATACTGAGCAGACGCAACAAGTGGAGCAGTCCACGACCACAGATGCATATCAGAGCGCCCAAGAACTGGCAACTACAGAGCAACCAGCCACTTTGGAAAAAAGTGAGGAGGAAGTTGAGGATAATGTCAAGAAACAATCATCTGCCTACGAGGACAGTGTAACCAATGCGGCACATTTGCAGCCACAGTACTCAGCACAGCCTGAACAGGCTACGGAAATACCCGGGGATATGTCTATTGTTTCCGGAGAGTCAGAAATGTCATTCAGCTCGGAGCAAGTAACCGATAAAATCGAACTAAGTACGGTCCGGTCAGAACTGGATGACGAAGCCATGGAGGAGATTGTAGATGAGCTTATGGCTACGATGTCAGCAGAGGAGGGCCTCACAAGTGCACAGGACCTGAGCACCGAGAAATTGCAGCTGCCCGATGAGGACCCCTATGTGAAGTTGGGCGAGACAACAGCAAGTGTAGTTCCGGCAAGGCCTACCGAGTACATCGAAAAAGACGACAACAAGAGCACACTCAAGTCAACCGAACTGGAAGAATCCATCGAGCAATACAAAGTAACGTTGCCTGAGCCTCAAGAGAGTGTTGAACAAGTGCCGTTACAGCCACTAGCCAGCTATGGCAACCAATCAGTTGAGGAGGCAGATGAGGAAGACCAGGAAGATCAAACAGGTTATCAGTTGCCCGTGCTGCTGCCAAGTAGCACTACCAGCAGCACCACTACCACAACCACCAGAAAGACAACCACAACGACTACAACCACGACAACGGCTAAGCCGAATACTTCAACGACTACCACAACCAAACCAACAACAACAAAGCGCTTACATACACTGAAACCTGTCTCTTACTATGTGCAGCCCTCGTTGCTAGGCGGCTACAACCAAGTTGAGCCGCAACCCCTTAAAGCCCAGACCTACACTGCGAATAGTACGCCACAGCGTCCCGTTCAGCGCCCAGCCTCATTGACCAATCTGATGGCGAGCTCCACACAAGCCACCCGACCGCCCGTCAAATTAGAGCCCAGCCCTGACAGTTCGCTGGGCTTGGAGGCGTCCACTGCAAGTCTCGACGAAGACGTTCGTTCATTTGCGCGCCTCTGCAACGAACTGGCGTTCAGCTACTGGAAAGCAATCACATCTGAGAAAATTAGTTCAGCACGCAGCTTGGTCATCTCGCCATTCGCACTGACCTCAATGCTGTCGATGGTGTTCCTGGGTGCACGGGGCAGCACATCGGGCGAAATGAACGAAATACTCAAGCTCGACGACATGGTTACTTTCAATCCGCATCTAATATTCAAGAACATCACGAGTTCGGTGGAGCAGGCCAGCGACAGCGAAATAGCAACAGCAGCCTTTGTCCGTGAGATATTCAGTGACCGCTCAAATGGCAAAATATTGCCGTTCTTCAAGGAAAAAACTCAGCAGCTCTATGCTGGACATGTTGAGGAGGTTAACTTCCATGTGGTCAATGACATTATACGTCGTCGCACCAATCTGCTGGTCAAGCGCCATACCATGGGCAAAGTACTCGAGTATTTGCGCACGAATAGCGTGTGGGTCAATGGACCATTAGCTACCATATCAGCTAATCTCTTCCAGACCGACTGCTCGCGCGGCTCTACGCAGGATCGAGATGGTGAGATGTTCTTCCAGGTTCATCCAACGGTGCGACAACGAAGACTCGTGCCCATACCGGCGGTTCTTTATCGCAGTGGCTTTTTAGCGGGCTACGAACCAAAACTTGATGCGACTATTGTAGCCTTTGGACGCGCTCAGGAGTCGGTGAGCAGCATTTACGTCATGCCTGGGCATCAGAGCTCAGTATCTCCCACAGACAATTTGGATCGCCTGGAACGTAATCTCATGAGCTTGGCTTTTACGGAGAACGCCTGGAGCAATCTGCTGACCGCCCTAATGGATCGTCCAGGAATGGAGGTGCAACTGCCACGCTTCTCGCATCGTTCCTTTGTTAACGCTTCACTTGGGCTTCAAAAAATGGGCCTACGTGGTCTCTTCAAGTCTGACTTTGCCGACTTACGTGGATTAACGGGCGCTGGCAATCGTGACATTTTCCTTTCAGACATGATTCAGATAAATACGTTTAGCACCTGTGGTGAGGAAAAAATATCCGACCACCACCATGTGGAGATGTATCCGGCGCCGCCGCTGCGCAAACGCAACAAGGATGTAGATGCCACAGACGACGATGCCTACGATTCATCCGAAGCCATCATCGACTTCGGCTCACTGGTCCAGGAGTCCGCACTAGGTCGTGGCTTCTACGACGATCTGCTCGATCCCAAGTATTTGGAGCTGCCGTTGCCTTTGCGCCCCCGACAGGCTCGAGTTCCCGACGCGCCACGACTGCGCTTCGACAAACCCTTCCTTTACTTTGTGCGCCACAATCCGACGGGCATGATACTCTTCATGGGTCGCTTCAATCCCCGACTGCTGCCATGAAAGCGGTAACTAGCTTAAGCCTAACTAGTAACTATGCACATACGTGTACACACAAACACGCCCACACCCATTAATATACGAATATGTATACTTGTTAAACATTTTTGCCGCTCGATTGCAAGCTGAAGAGGCGCGCGAAAAATTAGTGAATTTATTTTAGCAACAGAATTTGCAAATATGCCTGCAATTTAAGTTTAATTTTATTTGTAAAGCTCATTGCTGTGCCTTAAACCCGCGTCGCTGTTGGCCAATGCGGCGATACGAGATTGATGTGCAGCAAACAATGAAATATATGCATATACGAGTACATACATACATACATAGTACATATGCAAGCAAACCTATCATCATGCATTTTGTATATGAGTTTTTTAAAATGGAAAATTGAAAAACACATAAAGCAGTTTGTACGAATGTGAAATGAATTATTTTAAGAGCTACTGTATTATTGCCTGAGCTCTTCTATAGCCCAAATTAAAAATGCATTACTAAATCAAAACAAACGGTAAAAAAAAACAACCAACCATATAATACAAAGAATTCAATAAAATTTGAAGTAAATGCAATCATAAATTGCGCCATGTTGGGCCAAACAAATGTAATTTAGGAAAAGTAATCTTTAACACACGAATGAAAGCTATTATTGGTTTTATATAAGTTGAAATAAATACATAATTAAAATCAACGAATGTTGCTTTTTACTCGCCTGCAGTGCAACCTAATACGTAAGTATTTCTTTCCTTTCTTTACAAAAATACTTAACAATATATGAGTATGTATTACAGTACATAGATTTTTAATTAATGATCATTTATATGGAAAGTTTTCTTATTGATTTCGCAAGTTTTTGTCCATCGATTTCCTCTATTTTTTTTTGCTTCCTTCCATTGTTGAATTACTTATTGTGTTTGTATACTCACAATTACTAAAAATATATTTTTTATAAAGTCCAACATAAACACAAGCCGCAATTTGTGACTTAATTTTGAATTTGATTTAAGAGTACGAACCATAAAGTCAAGCCTAGTTATTGCCGAGTGTTCTAACAATAATTAATAACTGTATTTGCAAATTTATATACAAACCAAAAAGGTATTTGGCTAAAAATGTGTGCAACATCATATTTTCTCGTTTCCGTAATATTGGCTTATTGCAGCCGGAACTGACAATATTCTACATGTTTTATGCCTTCCAGAAGCGTACCATGAAAAAATCTACAGCTCATATATAGTAGACGCTGGAGCAGAAATAGCAAAAGAAAATGGCACAAATAAACATATATATTTTAATTAATATTTAACAAGAATATAAGTGACGCTCGTAATGAAATCAACGCATTTATGTGCATGTGTTGCCAATGTGTCTCACTTTGGGCCTTCTGCCTACAAACTTTGACAAACTTTTGCATGCACATTGTTGGTAATGTTGATATTGTTGTTGTTGTTGGTACTGTTGCCAATGTATGTCGTTGTATTACGTACTACATACTCGTACATCGACGTCGACAGCGGCTGTGGCAGTGGCTGTTGCTGTGGCTGCTCATATGCATGTTGGCATTTTTAGTGCCTGTTTTCCCAAGTTTCATGCGGTTTTTCACATTTTGTTGCTGACTTGACTGCTGTCTGCATTGTTGTTATATTTGGGGAAAAATGTTTTTATGTTTGCATGCATGTGTATTTGTTATGTTGTGTTGTGTTGTGTTGTGTGTTGTATGTGCAACAACAACTGCAACTAAAATCACTGAAACAAGTAGCATACTTTCAGGCAGAGCTGCAAATGCCAAACAATTGCCAAGCAGCCAACTGTGGTGTAAGGCTCCTAAAAACAAAAAACCTACTACTCTGCCAAACTGACAAGGAGTAGCGAAAATATAACAGCATGTAGTATACACATATACCCAGCAGCTCTAGGCGCTAGTACAGAACTTCAGTTGAGTGATATAATGCCCATATTTTTGTACGAAACACATAATATGGAGAGGTAATACCCACTATTTTAGATAAGCATATTATCTATTGAACGCCAGGGGCAAACTTTAGTGGCTCTCAGTTGATTATAAAGTTGCAAGATTTAACTTTCCAAACATAATAATAATATTTTTATATCTAGCTGAACAAGTTGATAATAATTATTGATTTTCTATGATTCGTTTGAAAATGTTCAACAGTTAAATTTAATAAACACCACCGAGTCGGTGGAAAAATTTTAATTTTTATAAATTTTTATCTGGCCAGCTACAAGTGTAGTGTCAACTCTGTTAGTATACCTACAAACAGTTATTTGAAAATTTAAATTTCCTAATAAAAAAGTTATCACAGAAAGGAAGCTTAGAATTAAATTAATTAACTTTAGAAAAAAGAAATTATTAGTCAGACCGGCAAGCTATATCGATGCTAACTGCCATGTGGTCAGACATTCCTGGAGATAGAAAAACTTTTAGAGAGGAAAGAGACCGTTCGGTTAGGGAAGAGAACTAAAGCAGTTATATACTTATAAAATTATTTAAATTGCTTATGAAATCATTCCAGCTTGGAGGGATTCTAGTTATTTAAACTCCGGAAAAACAAACTTTTAATTTAATAATTTAAGCAATTAAAATATGAAAATTGTTTTCAGGTAACGCTGTTATTAAATTCGAAAAAGTTTAATTTTTTTTTTTTTTTTTTTTTTTTTTTTTTTTTTTCTATTTTACATATATACAATTTATTAAACTAGTTTTCTACTACCAATATGGCAGCTTAAGCTAGTTGAAAGTTAGGGAATACAAAAGTTGTCTATAGTAAGCATCTATAGGACGCACTTATATCTATGTACATATATACAATATTTACAATGTTTTACATGAAAAATGATTATATTTTATGATATATACTATGTATTTTATACAAGGGCTCTTGTGGGGAGATCCTTTGGATGGCACTTCTTCAGTCTTCTCTTCTTAGGTTTGGACAGGAGCCGCCTCGCTAGTGCGTTGGGGTGACTGCCGAGTCGCTTCTCGTAATTGCTTGCGTGCATTTGAATGACATCGCCAACCTTGGGGACACATAAGTCTCTTTCGATGTCCCTAGTGCGCATATACCAGGGAGCGTTGCATATTTTTCTGAGTATTTTAGCTTGAGCAACTCTTATTTTGTTTAGGTTTGAAGCAGCGGCAATGCCATAAATTGGTAGCGCATACTTCCATATTGGACTTAATATGGACTTATATACTGTCACCTTACTGTGCAGGGACAGCTTGTTGCATGGTGCAAGCAGCCATGCCATCTTTCCGGCTTTCGCCATGACCGATCGCTTGACCATTGTTGTATGCTTGCTGAAGTTGAGTCTTCTGTCCAGAATTACACCAAGATATTTGTGCGAATTTGTATGACTGAGCGTGGACCCCAACATTGTGATATCTCCGCATGACGACGGCCTTGTTGTAAATGTGACATTCGCACACTTGCTGGCGTTGATACCAATGTTCCAATTGAGAGCCCACTTCTCGAAACTACTTACATACTGCTGTAAGGCTTCCGAAGCTACATCGATATCTCTGCTTCTGGTAAGCACCGCAGTGTCGTCTGCGTAAGTAGCTATTAGTGCGTCATCCTCGTATACTCCAATGATCTCTTGCGGTGCAGGCATATCAGCAGTAAATAATGTATACAGGGTAGGACCGAGAACACTGCCTTGGGGCACTCCTGCACAAATTGAGCGCCTCGTGGATTTCACTCCATCAACAGCAACTCTGAAGCTTCTGTCCCTTAGAAAGCTTTCGATGAGTTGAAACAATTGAGGAGTTAGCATGCCTTTCAATTTGCAGAGGAGACCATCATGCCACACTCTATCAAAAGCTTGTTTAATATCCATAAACACAGCCACTGAGTACATCTTTTGCTCCATGGCTTCCAGGGCGAAGTTGACCACACGGTGGAGCTGTTCCGGTGTTCCGTGACTTCTTCGAAAACCAAATTGCCATTTTGGAATTCTGCGCGTCACGGCTTCGAGCTGGAGAATCCGGTCCAGAATCACACGTTCCATCATCTTCCCGAGGGCAGGTAGCAGACTAATCGGCCTATATCCATCTACTTCAGTATGCTGTTTCTCTGGCTTTGGAATCATCGTAATTAGCGCCATTTTCCAGCAGTTTGGAAAGTGCCTCAGCCTGAGTATGTTATTCATGAGCAAGACAATATACAGCAGAGCCCTTGTGGGGAGCAGTTTCAGCGTCCTGTTGTCTAAAAGGTCTTCTCCAGGCGCTTTTTTTACCTTTAGATTTTTTATATGCTGTACCACTTCTTGAAGTGTAACTGGGCTTGCAGGCAAGGCCATTTGGAATGGCATCTCCAGCCTAAGCTCGACTACCCTTCGCCTATCTGCTGTTGTAAAGTCAAAAGGCTTAAATCTTTCCTCTAGGCTGTTTGCAAAGATTTCAGCTTTCTGCTGACTGGAGTAGCTCCATCCACCTGTAGGATCCTTAATTGGAGTCTTAGGGATGACCAGCCTCTTAAATCGCCTCGTAAGCTTCCAGAGCGAGTAATTAAATGATGCATCTGGACCAGCACTTTCCAATATGTCATCAATTCTGCCTTGTCTGATTTTAGCAAGCTCTTTTTGCAGTCGATTGGACAGTCTTTTGTAGATTTGATGAATGCGAGTATCTCCAGTTCTTGCATATTCTTTCCTGACTCTTCTTTTCAGGCTTAAGAGCGCAGCAGCCGTTGGTGGTAGACTAGCTTGACTATGTTGGGTTGGCAAGCGTAAAGTTTTCGGTGCAGCAGAAGACGCAGCCAGTGAAATGTTCTTCATGAGGATTGATATCGCGTCTTCGATATCCTCTGGGCTGTTAATTTCGACGTTCAGAAAAAAAAAAAAAAAAAAAGTTTAATGCAGCAAACAAAATTAAAATACAAATTAAATACAAATAATAATAATAATATAAAATATTAAGAGGAGCAGAAATTTTGACCGATTTGACTTCGAGAGGTTTTTTTGAATAATAATCAAAAAGCTTACTT